AAATCAAAGAGCAAATGTGACAACCATGGTAATTTTTGTCAGCTACGTAGAAGAGGTGTGATTGTGAGTCCATGTCTAACAGTCCATTGTGAGCTGCTCAAATTCCAAGAATAATTCAATTCTTGTTACCATTCCCTATGAAAGTCTAAACAGTTAAATTTAGGATTTTTCTCACTCTTGTTTGATAAACATATGCCTTATTTATTTATGGGCTGCTCACTCCCCAAGCTTTTAAGGTCTGTGCTTCCAAACAGGCCTGTGGTACGGATTATGAGGATTATTTTATACCCTCTGACTAGTTCCCACACCAGCTTTGTCCCTTCTGCTTCCCAGTTTTATCTTAGTTCTTCTAAAGCCTCCCAGAGTTCTTTATCTTCCACTTTCCCAACTGGCGAAGGCAATCCTGCTGCAATCCTTGTCTTCGTTCCACTAGGAAGCAGTTAACTATCTAAACACAGGTGGGTTTTGAACCTAGAAGAAATCACTGATGTATGAGACAGTAAACTTATCTGAACTATTGAGAATATTTCTGTGCCTGTCCTTAGGCATAATTCTAAAATTACATGAGACTGTGGTTTAAATCTGTGACAGATATTGCTATCTTGCTATATATATCCCATTACCCAGTTGTGACAAATATTAAGGATCTTGTGTGAAAAAGGAGGAAGTTACTAATGTATTTTAATTTGATTTACTTGTGTTTCCTGTTGTATTTTTACTGTGATTATGACTGTGAGTTCCATTTGCCACAACATACAGTGAAAAGGGATAGAGCCGCTATTTCCACAGAGGTACAGAATTCAGAGAGAAGCATATATGGTCTCTTTAGGCATCTCAGATCTTCATGTCCGGCTTGCCTTGAGTCAACAAGAGAGACTGCTATCTTATAGTGTGTTTTGTAGGTAAAATTCTTTCAGCAAATACAAGTTACCAACGCTTCCAAGAGACAAAACTAGTTAAAAGGCAACCAGTAACTCCAGGTAGAGTGAATCAAGATTGTTCTTAGTTCTTTCTAACAAGCTTTGTGTCAATCACTGAATCTATAAAAGAATTCTGCAGGTTGTTTTTACATTTCCATCTCTACAGTGTTGGGTTCTTTTTTTTTTTTTTTGCTCTTCCTAGTGAGATTTGAAAAGTGGAGAAAAGAGAGGATTCGAGCGGGGCTTTTCTCAAGAAGAACCAAAAGATAAGCTTACTTTCTTGCTAAAGTGATTGCTAATCCTCCAGAATTCCTGTTACCTTGTGAAAAAAGGACAGATTAGCGACACTGAATTCGGAGAACTGAAAGTATTAGGTTATATAAATGCAATGAAAACAGAATTAGTATTTGTAATCTGAAGATGCACAAAATTTGACCTTAATTTAGATTTGTGATACGCTTCAGTTTTCATCTTTAATGAAATAAACCTGTTTTGTTACCAGTATATTCCTGGTTGTGTTGTATCTGACTAAAGTGTTAACCCAAAATTTCTCCCCTATTCCACATTTCATATCCTAATTAGAGCTTTTTCTAACAACAAAAACAACAAAAAAAAATACAAAACAAAAAACAAAACTACAACAAAAAAAATGACACATCTTGTGCTTTCTGTTAATTCAAGACAATTATGGAAGTTAACACTCCAAATGTTAATTACATTTGCTGTTGAGCACAGCAGCCATTTTAGAACTGCAGACCAAATCAAATTAGCATTTTTGTCAAATAAAGTTAAATATGCTTAAAAGTTACTTCTTGATGCATAGAGAATAACATTTCACAGTGACTGTCACTAACGTCTGCTGGAGACGGACCCTGCTGCTAAGATTTGTCTGCCTGAAAGCTGATGTCTATATTTGAGTTAGATGTCAAAGCTCGTTTAACAGCAAAAGAAGAGCAACTGCTGTTCTAGCATGTGGTTTGTGTTGTTTGCAAATAGATCTTTAAAATAAGTCACATGAATTGTACCTTTGAAATGGCCATTTCTTTCCACTGATTGCAAAAGTTTTACTTAAGTGACTGATCCTCCCATAACCCTCATGATAAAATTTCTCATTGCATTATTTATTTCAGAGGTCCCAGATGTAGAAGGATATTGGATTAGAATTATTTTTTTTGCAGGCAAAACTGTAGGGTTTTAATTAGACAATTAATGTAGAAATAGAATAAGCATGAGACTGAAATAAAACCTTTAATATTCAGAGACATTTTTAGACTATTTAAGCAGGTCCTGTTGCAAAATCTAAAGGATGAGATCAGAATCCTCCTTATCTCTTAAATATTATATATATTTAAGATTCAAAAGAAATTGTCAGTGAAATCACTAGTCACTAAATTATTGCAAATGTTTTTAAATAAAACAGACCATTAAGCTAGTAGAATATGTGAAAGTCAATTGTAAAAGTGAATGAGGTTAACAGGATTCATTGCCTTTCTGAGTGAGACCCAGTAAAGAATGCAGGTCTCATCTTTTTTGCTATCCATTGCAGTCACAAACAGTGAAGTTTATTTTCCAAGGTATAAAAAACCATGAAACAAAAGTGATATTTTCAACAATGAGAATCCCACAGACACAGATGGATCACTTAATTCAGAAACCAGGTGGGTTTTATTTCCAAATATGTGTGTAGAACTATTATTAGGACATAATAAATATATAAGTGTAGATATATATATAGATGTGTGTGTGTGCATGATTCAATCATTTCTATATGGTCACATATATATACATGCACATATGTGTAGGCATATACATGCATTTGTACAATGAAGTTGACCTAATCCTAGGAATCTATGTATATATAAATATATGTCTATGCATATCAAATGTGTCTTTTCATGGAATCATAGAATAGTTAGGGTTGGAAAGGACCTTAAGACCATCTAGTTCCAACCCCCTGCCATGGCCAGGGACACCTCACACTAAACCATGACACCCAAGGCTCTGTTCAACCTGGCCTTGAACACCACCAGGGATGGAGAATTCACACTTCCTTGGGCAACCCATTCCAGAGCCTCACCATCCTCACAGTAAAGAACATCTTCCTTGTATCCAGTCTAAAGTTCCCCTGCTTAAGTTTTAACCCATTCCCCCTTGTCCTATCAGTATAGTCCCTAACAAAGAATCCTTCCCCAGCATCCTTATAGGCCCCCCTATGAGGTCTCCATACAGCCTTTTCTCCAGGCTGAACAGCCCCAACTTTCTCAGCCTGTCTTCATATGAGAAGTGCTCCAGTCCCCTGATCATCCTCGTGGCCCTCTTCTGGACTTGTTCCAACAGTTCCATGTGCTTTTTATGCTGAGGACACCAGGACTGTACACAGTACACCGAGTGAGGTCTCGAGAGCAGAGGGGCAGGATCACCTCCTTCGACCTGCTGGTCATGCTCCTTTTGATGCAGCCCAGGATACGGTTGGCTTTCTGGGATGTGAGCATACACTGCCAGCTCATGTTTTCTCATCGACCAACACCCTTAGGTCCTTCTCCACAGGGCTGCTGTGAATTTATTCTCTGCCCAACCTGTAGCTGTGTCTGGAATTACGTCGATCCAGGTGAAGGACCTTGCACTTGTCATGGTTAAACTTCATAAGGTTGGCATCAACCCAGCTCACAAGCATAATTTGACTCAGCACAAGATATTAACCTGTTGAATTAATCAACACTTAGTCCTTGTGCTTTAATTTAAGTTTATGAAGTTACAGCTAACTAAATAAGCCTCATATTGTTGGCTCCAGTTTTCCTCTAAAATGTGGTATCATACAATTTTTTTAACTTCAAACTGTTCATAAATCTTACCTTCCCTTTTCTTTTCCCAATCTAACTGCAATTCAGACAACACTAGCACAAACCAACACTACAGAAACCAACTAAGGCAGCAAAGAAAGAATTGCATGGTTTGGATATTTCTCTGAGCAGAAGACAGGTGATCTGAATTCGAATAAGTTTGTGCTGCAAAGGATTTCTTACTTTTCTACAAGCAACTTTCTGAAAGTTATTATTTATTTAAAGTAAATACTGTACAGTTAGTAAGTCCAGTGACAACCTGGGGAGTTAAATATCATAGGTACAGTAGTGCTGCTACACTAAATAATGGAGTAAAAGCTGCAGAGTCTGAGCTCAGGGCTGCTCAGAGGACAGACTTCCCACTTCAGGTATCATTTGCAGCACTTTAGTTGCTCAGTCAGCTAAATGCTTTGATCCTAATTTTTCTTCACTCTCCTGTATTGCTCCTGTGTTTTTCATAGTACTTGAGAGGTTCTCATTATGTGATCCCTTTTTTCTTATGCCAATCTTGGACTGATGAAATTTTAGTGACTTTCATAGAGTATGTCCCAGTGTACACTGTCATGCAATACTAATCTAACCCACTACATCTGACTATGTATGTCACCTATGTATGTCCTGACCATGCATACATCTTCTATACTTTATACTGTAGTGAAACAACATTTTCTATGTAAGGCAACAAAATATATTCAAATATTTTATTTCACAGTTTATTGCAGAACTGAAAGGGCATGATTGGTAATTCTGACTCCCAATGGTAAAACTCCCATTAACTCCTAGATGCAGTCTCTCCTGTCACAAGCATTATTTCAAGTCCAATAACTTTATGAAAGGATGAGTTTAATATAATTCTATAAATTAATATGCACATTAATAAATTATTTAGTTCAGTTCATACGGTGACTGAAAAATACATATTTAAAAAATGAAAGAATCCTGATTGTCTGCAACATAAAAATACCTCTTACCTTAAGAGCTTTAAGCATGTTTTGAGATTAAGAAATACAAAAATCATAGACAGCACCTCCTTATAAGTTAATTCAGTTCACATAGAACAAGCAAACTAAGATGACAAAAAAAATCTAGGGAAAAGAATGGGAATGTTGTGAGACTTTCTTGTGCGTTTTTATTTGTTTCCTCCTCAAAAGAACCTGAAAGCCTTTCTCTCAGTGCAATGTGGTAGAAAGAGATGAAATGTTCATCACTGTACACATCTTTCTTGTTTGATATCTTGTAGAATATGGCAACTGACACATTTATCTCTTTTATTTTGTGCGACTCAAGCACAAAGGGGTTTTCTCACCAAACTGGTCACAGGATGGCAGCATGAAAACCAGGTATGTATATTTTCCTTCTTTTATCTTGTATATTAACAATTTTAAAGATCAGCAGGAAACTGGATTCTCAAATTATATGTAGTTAAGTGTTTATTTAATTATCTGCTGCTGTCTACACTAGCACTAATTTTGTGTTATAGGAACAAATCAGTAGATGAAAGGAATTGGTTCTGAGGCACCTACAGCTTTGATTTTAAACTGGAATTACTCTGGTCTGTGATACAAATATTCTTTAGCTGCATGTGGTCCAGTTCTGTCCAAAGGACCATGATTGGCTATGTTGTATCTAGGAATAGGAGTACATTTAGTACTCATCTGGAACCAGGCTTCTAGCTTAGTTTCCCTCAAAAGAAATTGGATCTGAAAGTAAAATTGAAGAATTTGATTAAAATTTATGTTGCTGCTCTGTATCATAACAGTACAGTAGGTGCAGCCTGCATGAACATAATGATGTCAGAGAGACTATTTTCAGAAGTAATGTAATGCAATGCAGGGAAGCACTTGCTTTTAGACTATAGGTCTCAGGCACTGCTGCATTTATTAGCAGGGCTACACCCAGATATCTTAGTGGGATGTTTTGTGTAATCCCTGAGATTTAGCATTTTTTCTATCTGTTTTTCCCCATATCTTGTAAATTAGCTTTGAAGGTTTTTGCCCACCTACAAAGAGGTTAGATTTGATGTAAAGTAGGCTGGATTATTATGAATTTTGATCTATTCATGTAAGAAGTGTACAGTTTTTTGTGACACTACACAAGATTGATTTTCTACTGACCAGTTTGGTGGCCTTCTATGATGGGGCTACAGAACTGATGGACAGGGGTAGAGCAGTTGATGTCATCTACCTGGACTTGTGCAAAGCGTTCAACACTGTCCCACACGAAATCCTTGTCTCTAAGTTGGAGAGACATCAACTGATAAATGAACCATTCAGGGGATAAAAAACTGGCTGGATGGCCACATGCAGTTGTGATCAATGGCTCAATGTCTGGCTGGTGAAAAGTAACGAGTGGTGTCCCTCAGGGATTGGTGTCAGGACTGGTCTTGTTCGACATCTTTGTCGGTGACATGGACAGTGGGATTGAGTGCGTCCTCAGCAAGTTTGCCAATGACACCAAGCTGTGTGGTTCGGTTGATACGCTGGAGGGAAGGAATGCCATCCAGAGGGACCTTGACACGCTTCTGAGGTGGGCTGATGCCAACCTCATGAAGTTTAACCATGAAAAGTGCAAGGTCCTACACCTGGGCTGGAGCAATCCCAGGCACAGCTACAGGTTGGGCAAAGAAGGGATTCAGAGCAGCCCTGTGGAGAAAGACTTGGGGGTGTTGGTTGATGAGAAAATGAACATGAGCTAGTTTCAGTGTGCACTCGCAGCCCAGAAAGCCAACTGTATCCTGGGCTGCATCAAAAGGAGCATGACCGGCAGCTCTTGTGAGACCTCACTTGGAGTATTGTGTGCAATTCTGGTGTCCTCAACATCAAAAGGACATGGAACTGTTGGAACACATCCAGAGGAGGGCCACGAGGATGATCAAGGGACTGGAGCACCTCTCATATGAAGATAGGCTAACAAAGTTGGGGCTGTTCAGCCTGGAGAAGAGAAGGCTGTGTGCAGACCTCATAGCAGCCTTCTAGTATGTGAAGGGGGGCTACAGGGGTACTGGGGAAGGACTATCCTTTAGGGACTATACTGATAGGAGAAGGGGCAATGGTTTAAAACTAAAATTGCATATAAGGAGGAAGTTCTTTACTGTTAGGGTGGTGAGGCACTGGAATGGGTTGCCCAAGGAAGTTGTGAATGCTCCATCCTTGGCAGTGTTCAAGTCCAGGTTGGACAGAGCCTTGGGTGTCATGGTTTAGTGGGAGGTGACCCTGCCCATGGCAGGGGGGGTTGGAACTAGATGATCTTAAGGTCCTTTCCAAACCTAACTCTTCTATGATTCTATGATTCTATACTGAGGATTTCACAGTCATACTGAATTGATGCTAAAGGTAAAATACTGATCTGTCTCAAGTGAAATGGAGGTGGATGAAGATTTGTGACTTACATTTGCCTACAAGTGGATAGACGAGTGCTCCTAGGAACAGGTGAACACAAAGTATACAGTATCGCGGTTTCACAGTATGCTAGAGATTGGAAGGGACCTCAAAGGTCATCTAGTCCAATCCTCCTGCTGGAGCAGGAACACCTAGATAAGGTTACACAGGAATGTGTCCAGGCGGGTTTTGAATGTCTCCAGAGAAGGAGACTCCACAACCCCCTGGGCATCCTGTTCCAGTGTTCCGTCACCCTAACTGAGAAGAAGTTTGTTCTCAAGTTTAAGTGGAACCTCTTGTGTTCCAGTTTGTACCCATTACCCCTTGTCCTTTCATTGTTTGCCACCGAGAAGAGCTTGGCTCCATCCTCGTGACACTCCCCCTTTAGATATTTATATACACTAATAAGGTCACCCCTCTATGAAAATTTCCAGGATGATAGCAGAGGGACTGACCAGCAATCTCTCCTCATAATCCCAGTCCAGGTGGGGGCCAATAACACTTAAGTGATGCATGTCTCAGCTCTATGTTATTCCAATGAGTTGGATATAATTGCAAATATTCATTTGAGATTACAAAGATAATAATTAAGAAAGACAGATGGAAGGACAGAGCAAACACAGTGTATATTTTCCAGATAGAAGCATTTTCTTTAAGTGCTAACTCTATTGTCTTAATGAAGTGATACAGAAACCTTGAAGTTCCTATACTAACAATCAACAGTAACTTGGAACTATCAGAAAAGGTATTTACACAAGGCTCTCCAACCAGTGTTCTCAAAGCATTTAAGGCAGTTGAGAATGTATGGGAACCTTCATTTTGCCATGGGAAACTACGTTTTAAAGATCAGGTGATTCACTCAAAAGTTTCATTAAGAAGCTAAGGAAGAAAAGTCAATTTTGTGTATCCCTTCCGAAGTTGATCAGGTTTTGGTTAGATTCTGTGGCTTGTTCATTTACTTATTTATTTATATTTTTATGTATTTACTTAAAATGTCATCAAAACTTTCAACAGTTTGAAGAAATCTGTTCTGAGAAATTTGTTGACATTGGCCTTTATTACAAAAAATAAAAAAATAAAAATCTGCCATTGTGTAATTGGGATTATTCATACAAAAATATCCATGTGGATAAATTAATAAAATGCATCCAAAAATATCTGACATTTTTAATTCAGAATCACAATTGACATAATACTCCTAAGAAAGAATTTTCTCCTCAAAATTATAGCAGAAATAAGAATAATTATTTATGTCAGTGCTTTAAATATACATCCATATATTCAGCTGATCCCAGAGAGAGGCAGGGAAGAAAGAACGTGTTTGTGGGGTTTGTGTGTGTTTCCTTTCTCCCAGGATTTGCATTACTTCCTATTACATCTGTTTTTTTCAAGCTGCCTTCAATTTAGAATCTTTAGCCAGTAACAGAAAATTTTATTTGAAACAAATTACTCAGCTTTGTTCAACAGGAAAATGGCAATATTTAATTTGGGAATTTGATTCAGAACAAGTAATCTGAGGGCAGTAGATGCTGCCAATAAAGATTTGTCATATTATACTTGGATGCATCTGTGATTTCAGTGCAGTCTTTCCCTTACAACGTGGCAAGGCAATGTGACAATCTCACACCAAATGATGAGACATTTATGGGAATATATATTGTTGTATAATTTTGTAATCTGGAGTAGCTCCTTTAGTCAGTGGATCAACACTTAGGTAAGGTGTTGCTGATAAGAAGAGGTGAAGAGCTCTGCTTCCCAAATTCCATTTTCTTTTTGATGTGAAGGCTCTTGTGCACATAATGTTTATCAACTGGAAAAACAAAATACATATTTCTCTTCTTAATTCTCTTTCATTTTCTTCCTAATAGGGCTCAGATTCCTGTCTTTGGAAAGGCCAGATTTCATGTACAAATTTATCATGGGCTTAAAACATGTTGTTACACTGCAGAGCTCTGAATTATAATAAGCTGTAGTACAATTTCACAGGAATTTAGGTAATTTTGTTTTGTGGGAATGTTCGAAAAGAAAGCACTGAGTATGAAGGAAGACACTCAGGGTGGATATTGTGTAGAATTTTCAAAAGTGGAATATAGTGTGGAAAATGTGCCTATGTAGAGTCGGAGACTTTACATACTACTTTCAGACATAAACAAAACACCAAATAGCCTTAGAACCAACATATAAACAATGAGCTAAGGTGTCTATGTTTGCTACTCTCTCAAATGTTCGGATACAAGAAAGAAAGAATCCCTCTTCTCTTATTTGCCAAGAAAGAAGGAACTCAGTACTATCAGACCAGTCAGAAGGGCATAGTTTATAAAAAGTCAAATGATTGTATTGAGATCAATGAGAACCCAATTCCTTCACGAATATAACATAGTATTCCGTGAATATGAATATATTTCTGTGAAGCTAAACACACAGCCAGACATAGCCAAGGCAATCAGGAGGCTGGCGAATAAATGCTACAGATACTAGATGAGCAGCAGGAGTTAATACTAAGAATCCATATCATATTCAGCAGGTGTTGATGCAAGTTACATATGGGGCTTTTTCTAGTAAATCACTCAAACTAACTAATTATCATAATATATTACCAGACTTCAGGAAATATGTGAACTTCTAGTTACTACATCAGTGTGAAACACAAAGGCAGATGTGTCTATCAGAAGTTTGACCCAGCTTATCTCCAGAATCTTTGTGCACTTTCTTCCAAGTTATGGAAAATCAACCAAGTCGTGTTATTATCACATCACAGTCAGAGTGCAAAGCTAATGTGGCAGACAAAAAAAAAACATAAAGCAAGCTTATAAAAGGAAGAGTAACAAAAAGAAAACATACCAAAAGTTGTTTCAGAAAACAAAGACCTATGCACTGGATGGCATTAACACACATGCAAACCCAGGGACCATTTGGTAGTACTGATATCATCTGATATCAGCCACATAAACTTAGATATGCAAGCTAAAATAAATGCTCTGAATTTTCATTATAATCTTTTAGTTCTTAACAGATAGTGTTAAAGGACTGTCACTCTAGGTAGCTGACACTGAAGGGAATCCTGAATACTGTCTTGGCTGCAGAAGCAAATCAGGTTTATGCCTAACTGTGGGAAAACAAGGTTATAATATATAAATGAAAGCAGACTACCATGACAATCAAATACATCTAGGCAATTGCAGCATATGAAAGATTTATATTCACGCTCATGCACTGATTTACAAAAACTTCTGTCTTGAAACACAACTTACAGTCCAATAATTCTGAGCAGTCTCACATGTTATCATAAATATCAGCTGAAGTTTAATTTTAGCTTGCCATGTGATTCCCACCTAGGAATGTTACAGGTTCATCTGCATTTAGACAGTATTCCAAGATAACTGTTTGAGCATCAGTCTAAAAAAAAGACTTATACTACAAAAAAAAGTGAGGGTAAATAAAAAAATTCCTTTCTGAATCTCTAGCATAATATTGTAACTAAGCAAGATAAAATTAACTAAGAAAAGAAATAAAGAATAAATAATATTCTAAACATATAAACATATAACGCACAATACCATCTCTTTTTACACAACTTACAAACATTAAAGAGTTGCATAGGACTGGTAAATACAGAAACAGGTTATTTTTCTTTTAATTTTTCTTTTTCTTTTGATATTTCAAATAAACACAGTAAAAGTAGGCCTCTAATACAGAACTGATCGGTAGGAACAGCTGTGCTATCACTTGTAGGCAAACTCAGAAAAAGCTATTTATAGGAAGTGCTTGATAAATATGCTACAATTGTAAGGGGAAGAGCATGGATTTTGAATTTTTATTTCCTTGAGTATTAATTTCAGCAAGCAAGATTAGGCTAGGAGTTAGGAAAATCATTTTAGTGTCAAGGATAATCAAGCATTAGAACAGACTAATGAAGCTGCAAAGTCGCTATTAACACTAAGAATTTTTTGGTGCAAGTCAGCAAAGCCTTTAAGAAACAATATTGCATTCTGAAGCAACGGGATGATCCTTGAGGTTCCCTCAACTGCATTCCTGATACATAATTGTTTATACATGTTTGAGCACTGAACACTACTGATTCTAAACCAGATATATGTCACATAGGTTTTGTTTTTCTTTTTGTTTTGCTTGTTTGTTTATTTGTTTTGTTGGTTCATTTTTTTTGTTTGTTGTTTGGTTTTGGGGGGTTTGGGGAGTTTTTTTGTGTGTGTGTGTTTTGTGTGTGTGTGTGCTTGTGTTTTGGTTTTGTTTTTTTTTCACTGGAGTATGCATAAAATTCCAGGTCCTAATCACACTGGTAAATGGAGAAGAACACCTGAATTATCCCTCTATATATTATAATTATTAGGAAGACAGCATTTAAAACCCCAGCTTAGTACCTGCTAATTTTGTTTCCATCACAGAGGGGAATTTATCCAGAGTTTAACAAATCACTTCTTATCAAAATGCCTCAACCTGACTTTTCCTGATTCTAAATGAGCACCTATTATGAAAAGTGACTCTATTTCAAACTTATTTTAAATTACTCAGTAGGTGAAGCAGCCTTTCTTCAGACTTACACCAGACAGGCTCAGGTCCTGTAATTGTACACTCCGGAATCTTCCCCTTTATCCCATTATTGATGGGGAAATCCCCCTATTTGGTTTGCAGTGTTGAAGGTTTTCACTACTAGTTGGTATTTCTACTAAATGTGCTGGTTGGTATTGCATCAGATTTCCTTCATAACCATATACTTTTAAAGACATAGATTACTGAAATTCTACCATGACTTCCCTCCCAAACCCTCAAAATGAAGCCATGTAGCTTTGTTAGCTTTTTTGGTGGAATTACTAGCACTTCAATTCCCAGCCCAAACATGCTGACCCCATTACATCTTTAAGACGTCACTAAAAGAAACACCCAGAAAGTCCAAGCAGCTTTAAGTTAGTGGAAATACATTTAAGAGGTAGGCCAATAAATGTAATTAAGAGCATGAGGTGAGCAAATTATCTTACCAGGTGACTACTGAAGCATCATATCAAAGAGTATATTTTGGTTTCAAGGTTAAACACATGTACTTTCAAGTTTTTCTGGTTTTCCTTTTGCTTGTTTGTCGTCTTAATTTTTGTAAGTTTTCTACAGATCCCGTGGGAAAAGCAGAATTTTTAATGAATGCTTAAAATATAATCATTTTATTTAGAGTTTTCTTGCCACATGATTTAATAGCTAATAGCCACCCAGTCCTAGTTCATACAACAGTGGCACAAGCCATTGGCTAGCCACTAGTTAACCCCAGCCAGACTCCCTGGATTATTTTCTTCTTTCTTAATAACACTAGAATAACTACTCAGGAACAAGGTGATTTTTAACTATGTAGAGCAATGTTATGCGATGTGGATACATGAATATATAAGATTACCTTGTCCTTTTTTCTTTTATGTTTCTATCTCTGTCTGTATTCTTTATTCTTATTTAAATTCTTTCTGCTTCTTTTCAGGAAAACCAACTGGATTATACTGGAAAATGTCTCAGGAAGGCAGAACTAATTGCTTTAATTATTACTGGAGAGCCATGTGGTCAAATTAGAGTGCTGGACCAATCAGGGACAGATAAAATGAATGTTTCCCAGAGTTTAGGGAGGAAGCTGATAATTCTTAGGTTTACAATGCTGTTGTTGTTTATCTTGAATCACTTCAAATTAGTATGGTATTTAGGTATTAGCAGTAGGGGTATTCCTCACTTGAGGGAGAATGTATAAATTATTATACATAGTTTAAAAACAAATAAAGAGAGATAGGGGATAAGGACTACAGTCAGTACATAGGTCTGATTCATTGCTTAAGGATTCCTTGTGACAGAAAGCATATCAGACCTTCTTAACTTTTGAAATAAAAATTTGCATTCCCCAAAATAAAGGACATACATTATGAAGGCTTTAATATGCGACAGTCTACCTGCAAGTGTTTTCATTACTTATTTTCTACTCCCTTGTGTCCCTTTTTCCTCTGTACTGAATTAGCTGCTCATGCAAGAAATCACTCTTGCTGATATTTTCTGCTTCAAACTTTGTGGGCAAAATCTTACTTAATCTTATGCTGTTAATACTGCTAGATAGCAGAACTTTGGTAGAACCTAATGGCAGAAAGAAAGGTGTAATTTTATATTAAAGATAGTTTAAACAAGGCCAGTTGAATTTTAGCCTTTTTATTTATAGAGATAGTGGAGAAATCTGGCAATATCTTATACTTTCATTTAGACCTCTTCCTGGGTAAAGATCACATTTTACTCAGTAATATTTCATTTCACAAACTGACCTCATCTACATGTAAATTAGAATGAAAATAAGGCTAAAAATATTGCAGCTGCTAAAAATGCTCTTTGAAAAGAGTTAAGGCTTATATTGCTCTTTAGGAAACATACTACAAGCCTGCCATGATTTCTTTTGCTATGTACTACTGACAATGAACGGACATGAACTCAAAACCAAAAAACAACAATTCAACCACTATTCAAGTCAGTGTTGGCAACATTTCAGATTGACTGTCTTTCTCTTTAAATCCATGGACCAATACCCATTACAGTCTAGTCACCAGTCTCATACATGGTCAACACAAGATTCTATCAATTCAAGAAAAATACTTGAAAGTCCAGACTGTGTTTTCAGGTTCTCTTATAGTATATGTTGGGATTAAAGTTTCAATACTTCTGAGATATTTGAGTTACTGGGAAGGTGGCAAACAACAATATAGTATATGACATTTTTGAAAGAACAGAATTGATGGTGTTTCCTGTGGTTTTGCGATACCAGCCTAAAAAGGCCTTGAAAAGAATTGGATAGAGTCTTGGTGCAGAAACACAGAACTATTCCAAAATAACATAAATTCTCTGCTATTGTGAAGGCAAATGGTTCTGACTTGGTCATTTACTGCTGATCTATATGATGTTAGTGTGCTATGAGTCAAGGATTATGTTGTGGTCTGAAGGTAAAGTTCAGTTTAAATTTAAGAAAAATAAATGCCAATTAGTGCATGATTTGTAGGTTAATTGGAGTCTACTCTTGCTAGTAAATTTGGGCGTCGGGATTCAGAATTCCTCTCTACTCAGTCACTTCATGACCTAAACCTGGAAGTAAGCAGTTGAATGAGATACAATGATACTTCCAATTTTTCTTGGAAATAACAGCTCTCAGACTCCTGCTACACAATGCAGAACGTCAACTGTTTCAGTAATCATAGCTCAATACAATGGGAAGAAAATAAAAAGAAAGTGTAGTTTTCCTGGAACAGAGTCATTGACTGTATCTGTTCAAGACAAAATATTAGACGAAGTGAATAAGGTGTGCATGCTGATGTTCAAACTCAAAGGTACAGAAGAAAACGAAAAATAAAAGTGCTTCTCATTCTATAACTGCAAAATACCTTTCTCTGAATAGGCATCTTTTCTGAGAACATCACTCACACAGTACAGGAGTATTTGCAGTTTGTGTGTCAAACTCTTCCATGATTATTGTCACCTTTTTCATACCTTAGAACTGTTTGGGTTGGAAGGGACCTAAAAGATCACCTACTTTCAACCCTCCTGCCATGGGCAGGGACACGTTCCACTAGACCAGGTATGTAAATACCTCTTGTCCAAACCCAGAATATCCATTTTAGAGTCTTTTTTATCACGTTCTTTGCACTTCTATTCCTAATTACAGTGCTTCTCCATTTAAATATCAAATAACTTATTCCAAGCATTTCAAAGAAGTGTTTGCATGTTTTATCATATGTTTTCCTTTACATACCTTTCTTGCCCATAAATGTTGCAATACGTGCTTCTTTTCTATTTTTTTTTAATTTCTTTTTTTAATACCTAAGCAGTTAAACGAGAAAAATGTTCATGAAAGCATTTTTAAGACCGGCTAAATATGTCTTTCTGGTATTCTTGTTAGATGACTAAGATGAGTTTATGTTTCACAGAAGTTACCTTCTAGTAGATACGAAGATATGAATTTGACTGAATTATGAAAGAAAATTACATAAATTTAACTTTTAATCTGATTTATGTCCTACATTATTCCCAGTCTCAGTGGTTTCATTCAATGTCTCCATTGCTTGTCCAAGGGCAATAAAATTCACCTTAATTTTAATCCAGCAATATATTAAATTCTAATCATAACTTTCCTTCATGAATATCAAGCATCATATTTTTATTTGATTTTTTTTTTTTTTTTTTTTTTGCAAAATGATACAGATTTCTGCAAGTAAGGTTTCTCATCTGCAGTAAGCTCCATATTTTCAGCCTGGCACCAGGACATCAAAGTAAGTATTTTTGCATAGGCAGAAAAGCATTTGCATGTATAAGTAACTGTATCATGATTAGCTTTAAGCAATTTCCTTCATCTGCCTTTTGTTCCCTCTTTCTTATAACTTTCTGGTTGAAGGTCTAAAATTGAGACCACTTGTCTCTGAACATCCTCAGAATATTATAGTTCTGATATTTCAACCACTTGAGTAAAAAAAAAGATCCAAATGTTAAATTTTTAAAGTGCGAATATATATCAGCCTGATTCAAGAGACATCTCAAGCCCTTAGTCTGGTATCAATCACACCACAGTGAGTCCTTTGGCTTAAAAAAGTTACTCTAGCCAGTGAAAGGAGAATTAATTTTATTCTGAATTTTAATTACTTTGAAGAATGTGGCAATGATTACTTGAGCATATGCTGTCCATTTGTTTCATGACTTATTTTACTCAAGAGAGCTAATCCACGTATTATGCCTGGGTGTCTCTTCAAGACAATGTGTGATACAGTTTGTAAGATAATTTGCTCCAGTGTCTATTCTATGCAGACATGGATGAAAATTTCACCAGGACATTTAAAAAACCTACAACAGAGAATTTGCAAGTCAAATGATTACCGGTCCCTTACTTAGACTTAGTAAGTCCCTTACTTACTTGGAGGAAAGGTCAGCAGCTTTGCTCCAAAATGTTATTTGAATGACCTCCTAGACTGCTTTAAGTTTCGTGTGCTATTTCAACCATTTTTCTCATAAATAAAGATTAGACTGTTTTAGTTAATGAAATATAAAATTAAGTGATTAAACTGTTACCATTGGATTTCTTACTTTTTAATCCACACTGTTGAACCACAAAGCTCAAAAATTAAGGAAAAATAAAAATTTCTGGTTTTTAGCTTCGAGTATTCTGAATAGATGAAATAGAAATCACAGTACTGTAAAATTTGTCTGTGAAAGCATGATGTTATCACAGATCTTGTTTGTCTGTTTTTAAATCTATAACTCAGGCAAATACACAGCATGCAAAAGAGGAAAACCCTGAAGGAGTTCATTAAAGGGTATGTAAACAATGAGTGCATATCACGAGTATGTGATCTTGCAGTAAGTATGTGTACATCATCAGATTTCAAAATACTACAAATCTATTCCCTTCTGCTCAGGTGTGGAAATACATCTACATATGCTTTGTTATACTATTCTGCAATTTTCAGTCCAGGTTCAGTCATTTATACAGGGAGAGAGTTTCTTACTTACAAGACTTCATTTTAATACACTCAAAGGATGACGCTCAAAGGACTGCGGGAAATGTCAGAAAGTGAGATTCTGAGCTATGGCAGAACTATCTAGAGAAGTATTTTGTATTTAGGACATGATCAGTCTTTGAAGATGTGGGTAGGGAGCCACTCTGTTTCTATACAAAGTTTCCGATTTTCTGACTGAAAATCCTAACAGCAAAGAGGTCACAGAAGATGACAGAAGCACTGTGAGTACGTGCTCACTCCAAAAAAAAATACTGAATGAGTCAAGTCAGGTCACGTTTAACAGCATGTTCATCTTTCCAAAAGAAGTCTGTGTTTGAGATGAACCTTAATGTCTGTAAACCTAGAGGAATGATATTTTGTATGCATATACCACCTTCAAAATGAGAAGATTGAAAATTTCCTTATAGTAAACTATTTTAATTAAAATGCTATTTCTACCTATATAACCCTTTTCTACTAGAAATAATGTCAGCTTGGGTTTGCCTAGTAAATTCATACTTTTGAAATATATGAAAATAATTTTACCCATTTATTTCTTAATTGGATGAATAGCTGGGTAGGAGAAATATAGTCTGTGATCTTTTGGCCGAGTGGTTTCATAGGGCAGATAGACCATTCATGATCTACAACTGAATCAAGATATTAATCATGTGGTTTTTAATTGTTAGTTTCAATCCTTACATGGAATGCAATTTTTGTCTGTAATGTCTGTAATGCTCTGCAGAATGTCATAACAAATCTTTAAACAAAAAGTATTGTACTTTCTGAAGCTAATAGAGAAATTGGTTTGCATGGCTCAATGAAGATCACGATATGCGTCATAAGATTTACTGAAGCTCAAGAAGATGAAGCATTTCTTCTGCTCAGAGCAGGATGTTCAGGGTAAGATAGCATGCAACCATGCATAACAGAAAAGAACTGTAACACAGTGTCCAGGAACAAAACTCTGAATTATTTTATATTACCAAGTAGTATGAAAATACAGAATATGACATGATATGTTCAGAGAAACAAAGATTATCATAGCAATACTCAAAGTTATTTATATCGACCATTTGGTTATACCAGCAAAGTAAATAGTACTGTTTTCCAATATTTACTTATGATTCAATTGTTAAATCTTAATAGCACAAAACCTATTCCCAACATGACAATAGCACATTTTTGTAGTGGATAAACAGTTACAAAAGGAGCATATTTTTCCCTGGTGATTCCACTTATATAGATGACTAAACTTTGGTGTCAACCTTGTGAGCTGAACTCAAATTCCACTGTTAACAGTTTTGATTCAGCTGTCTAGAAACCAGCTTTCATTGTCATTTGAGAGTCCTACCTTTCTTTCCCTCCAGCTACTGGTCTTAAAGATTCTGCCCCTGTAAGTGCCTTGCCATATTTGCCAGGCCTGTGTGAATGACTTGAATGACTAAAACATTTGAAGTATCAGTAGATATGCATATGTAAGCGATTGAATTTATTTTGCACAGTTTTAAAGAGAGTAACCCACAGGATACTTTTCACAGACATTATCCATTAAGAATATCTGAAAATGTAAAAATAGTGCTATTATTAAAAGGTTTTAAGTATAACACCACTAAAAGCTTATGTGCAAACAAAAATACAAATGTTAACCATGGGAACTCTCTACAAATTAATGAAAACCAGCAATGTATACTTGCTTCCAGTTAATTGCAGAGCTCATCTGGTCCACAACACAGATATACAGAAAATATATCATTTGATCTTTAAGACTTTAAGTTTTTCATACAGTTTTGTTCATCTATGAAAAGAATACCACAATAATTCTGTAATACTAAAGTAGTTCTCAGTTAATCTTGAGTTCCTCTACATTCTGACCTACTTGCCCACAGGACAATTATATTTACATAGTGAAACTGAAATGCACTTGAATTGTTTTCCAGCTTTTAGTTTAATTTATCATTTGATATTGATCTGACCTATATTAGTCAGCTAGAAGTCAGACACTAAAAACCAGTCTGGCCACCCAAGCTTCTCTCAGTGGACAAAACAATGCTTAGCAAGAACCACTCATCAGACTTGGAGCTGTAACTCTTGGAGTTCTCAAGTTAGGAGAGGTGAATTGCATTGTAAGTGAAAATTAGGGAATTGCACCTCTTCAATTATTTGCAGATTTTGAAGATGAGCAGAAACATGACTTTGATTAAAAAAGTAATTTTAATGATCAAATGTTATACACACATCTTTTAGAATGTTTCAGAAGTTTGGGGTTTGGGTTTTTTTTTGATTGAGTTTGTTTGAATGATACACACATCAAATTAAAATATTTTGTATCTTTAAGTTCTGAAATTTATGATCCAAAACCTTACCCAAAGGGTAATTTATGATGAACAAAATGATGAAAAGCTGTTTGTTTACAATTATCATTCTGTATAACACATCATGACAAATTAAAAATGGAAAATTCCTGATTTCCCATTTTTCATCCCATTGTTTTTCTTTAAAAAAATAGTTTTTCAAATACTTAAAAATACTATTGAACATCCTAAAGTTTTGATAAGCAGCTGAATTTTTACTTTTGTATGGTGAGTAATATGTACTGAATGCATGTGCCCTGTTAAGGATCCTTGCCTTGGAAAAGACAGTTTTACAGTTCTGTCTTCAAATCCTAATTTGATTTCTTCAGATCTGTGGTACATCAGACCACTTTTACCTCAAATATAGCAACAGCAATTATTTCCCCATGTATAGACTGCAGAAACCTGAAAAATATTGTATTTTTTATACTGAACTTATCATGAAGGTAATTTCAGTTGTATATATTAATTACAATTTATGATATATGTAATACCTTAAAGCTTCATTGAAATGTATTTAAATGATAAAAATACTATTTAAATAATGAAAGGAAGGTCATAATTAAATTTTGTATTTGAGGTCAACAGAAACATACACTTGAAAGAATATACCTCATAAGCAAAGGGAAATGGAATTTTCCTAACATATCCTTCAATACAAACAGTCTCTTAATTTTCATGCAGTTGTCCATTATTACACATGAAAGAGATAATCGCATTGTTAATAAAACTTTTAAAGCCATTCTGTCGGGATCTTTCCAGCTCCAGTATTACAATGGCAGCACCATATTCCTACCAAAAATGTTCACTCAGGATTTCCCAATCAGATAAGTTTCACTAATCTCTATGTGCAGCAGTTAACCCTGATCTTCTGCTAATATTTTTACTTAGTTTTTATGTAGACACCAAAAATAATAACTGTTTTGTGAAGGAAATATTCTGAAATGTTATAAAAATAGAGCCTGGCAGCCTTTAGATATTTTCTTCTAATGTAATTAGTATTGAGTCAGCTCCATACTTCATTTTTTTGATTCAAATATTATGAAATGCAATGGACATTGAAAGGCAGATATTATTCATTGCAATCTAACTATATAATTACTTTAAATAAACAGGTAAGACACTTCTCATTTGAACTGAGGACTCATTACATTGGTACTATGAGTGAAGGGCCCTTAGATTAAATGAAGGTCAGGATTTTAACTTACAATACAAAGAGAGCATAAGCTAATCTTTTATAACATAACAATAAAAGAAACTAACACATCGATTCTACGAACATGGGATACCACTGTAGTGTTGTTTGTATTTCTTTTTACCTTCTGCATCGGTTAATCCTACTCCCGACTGCTTTACTGGTTCTTGTCCATTCTGGCTCATCTTCCCTCTGTTAAAAGATATGGTCATAGTGTCAGTAAGGCTGTAAAGAGATCAGATCTAAATAAATTATACTCCCAAGCTAAGGAGGCTTGGTTTTCTGCAAAAAGACAAACCTCACAGGTATTTCAAAGAAAACAGTATGTATATATATTTTTAATTTCAAGAAAATAGAGTGGACAATGGTTCTTTCCTGCTGCTATTTGGACAGATCACAGAAGAATATGATTTTTTTTTTCCTCATCTGGAGGCAATGGAAATCACATCTTGCTAAACCTGTATACTCTTTTAATATGGGGCCTTCAGGTGCTGTCTACTATGTGCCCACCATCAGCCTGGGATTCTGCAACCAGCCTGCACAGTTCCTCTCCTTATTTTATCTTGTTACAGTGAATGATGAAATATATAATGAATCAAAATTGATATTAGGTCTACAATATGTTTACTTCAAAGGTAATGCATGATTGCGTTCATTATCTACTTTTAATGCTTCTTTTACATTGCAGTTTAGGGTTTTGCATAAGAAAAAATTTACTTCTGAAACTTACATTAATCTTAAAGTAAGTTTAGTGGAATAAATCATGTTCTGGAGTTCCATATCTTCTCCACTGGATGTGCAAAATCCAGGAAAAAACCTGGATTACAATCTGGGTGTCTATTTTTAGTTAATGAAAGTTAAGTATCTTTAAGCTTTTCTATAAACTGTCTTTAAACATACTTGTTGCAAACTCTAAGGTATGGTTACAATCACTGTCAAAAGCAGAACATGTTTGCTACTATTAGATGTTTGTGCTTCTGCTTGTCTTTTTGCCTTAAGACTCTGAAATGCTGTGATAGAAAATATAAGGCACTGTCTTCAGATGCGTGTGATTCCTTTGGGGCTTAAAGAGTCAGTGTAATTCTTTGCCACCAAGGAGTCAGTTTCATGCTTCATAGCAGAAACAGAAGCTGTTCGAGTTCACAATGAACTGAAAAAATAGTATAAAATGTCAATTTTAAAATTATTTTAAATTCAGTTTTAGCTGAAAATTAATTTTATCTTCTTCTGTGAGGTAATCCTTTATAACATATGTTACAAATATGGTACAAGACTTATTTATCTCCATGGTTCCTTACACATTGTTCCGTTTTTTTTTGCCTTTGTATTCAAAATTAATATAAATTTACAGATATAAATGGTTACACAATACAAAGGCATAGACAATCTGGTCCTTATCAGAGGTGATAGCAGAAATAACTTTCAGAAATATTACAGCTGGATAAGAGTCTTTTAAAAAATTATCTCCCAAATAGAAAGACTTTACAAGATTTATTCAGCTGCGTATAACTGTACATAATGATTAATTTCCCTTGGTAGTTATAACTGTTTAATAATGGCAAGTACTCTAATTAGTTACCTTATTAAACATTTCCCATAGTGTCACCACTGAACTATTTTATTTTGCTTCATGAGTAAATGTTCCTACCGTTAAAGTATTTTGACTAGAGTTTAAAACTCAGCCTATCCAACACTTCTGTCTATCGATAGAGCAGAAACTTCACCTAAGCAGGGAGCTTATAAATAAAATATTTTTATATGCCAAGACACTTAAAATTATTCAGCCTACTTAATGCTTCACATCCAAATTGTGAGCTGTGGGCTTATGTATATATTGAATTAGTGTACAAGTTCAGAGTCCCTGAAGTCATTACCAAGCCAGTGTGAATACAAATGTTGACTAGAATTTCAATCAGACATACATTCAAATATATATTAATTTTTATCCATAAGTTTTAAAACATTCTCCCCAGGAATGATTCTAAAAGTCTCAGACGTTAAACAGCAATTTTATCTCATTTTCATCACATTGCTAGGTAAAGCCCTTGAGATAATGTGAAAAAGAAAGCATGTTTTGTCTATATAAATGTCCTGTGCAACTTTTAAAATCTCTGTCTAATATCAGCATTTAAACAATTTATAGTCTAGGCGTTAACTGAAGCTAAGAGGGCTGGATATATTTTATTTAATTCAGTAAAATTCATGGGAACAAACTGCTGCAAAAGAAAAGCTGAACCATGAATACTTCTTTCTGCTATTCAGTAGAAGTGGGGCTGATTTCATGCTTAATATGTTGGTGAATCTGTCAGGCAGATACCAAGTAACTGCAGATACTGTCACGTTGCTAGATAGTACACAGTAATAATACTATTTGGACTCAAATTTAGCATATGTGAACCGAATAATTCTATTGCGAGCTCCATCTTGTGTTTCTGTGCACAAAGATTTTTATGCCTTTTTTTCTTCTTATTCTTATTATTCTGTGATTCACAGAAATATATATTCTTTGTGACTGCCAATTCCAATTAAGGACCACCTTTTTGCCAAGTAAAGTACAACTTCTTTTATCCTAGAACAGCATGAGTGAAAATTCAATGCAATGTAGAATAAACAATTGGTCCCTAAAACCTGATATCACATTGTTGTCCTAGATTCTGGCAAGTGAAAGGGCTATACATAGTGCACAGAGGATACAGTATATTAAAGGAAAAGCCTTACATTCTTGGGATGGGGAATAGATTATTCTCTCCTGTGGCACTGCTGCTGCTTTCGCTATCCATGCTGTATCCACTGCCAAAGCTACTGGCTGACGAGCCAGTGGAGACAGAACTTTCTGCAGGTCGGTGATTAGTAGACCTTGCTGTACAGGGTGGGAACAATGGGTTATCAAAAACCTTGTAAGATATCAGTACCATCCATGTTAAAGCAAAAACTTATCAAAATTATATGCTGCAAACACTTTTGCTTTTTTACTTTATATTCTAGTATTGTGTTATCATCTTTCCCAGATATTTTTTTCACATAGAATAAGCTGTTCTAAATCAAATAATATACCACCATTTTTTTTTCCTCCAGTCATGTTAAATAGTTCAAATCAACAGCCTGAAGGAAAAAGAACAATGGGTTAGATTGATTAACACTGCATTTCTGATTAAAGCTGCAAAAAACCAGTTATCCATCTGATATATTTCATATGGCAATCTTTTGAAAATGAAAGTCACAGTGGGCCTTCCTTACATTCCTCATGAAACATTCTTTGCATTCGGTGATTTTGAGAAGGAGAGGAAGCTGAAGGGAAATGTATGTACACCATCTATTCTCACAGAGACTGTATGAAGACCTCCACCCCTCTTCAGATGTAGCAGAGCTACTGCATTATATTTCTCAACTGCTCCTACCTATCTGGATCTCTCTTACCACATACCTAGAATATTAATGCACATATTTGGATGGAAGATGCCTTAATGTTATTTAGGGCCATTTGTTGTAAAAACTGTACACCAGCATGCATTACTTTTATTTCAGACGCCTTATTTTGTGTTTTCTGTATTACTGTACTACATGAACAAATCTTCTGGTATTCAGCTGTTAGCAAGTTGAGAAATATAAATGAAAAATGACACAGCGATATTACACATAATAATTAATATAGGAACAATAGAGTAGACGTTATCATATTGAATAACACAGTTGTCTGGGAATATTAATACAGATATTGGGATTTTTTTTTTGTTAAATGTCCTCTCCTATATCTGCTATTATCATGTTTCATCTATTCCAACTGATGAATATACACACTGAAGATAAGAAATGTTTTTTTGTAAAGTTAGATTTCAGTGAAGACTTAATGAATTTTTATGTTATTTTGGTGAATTGTGAAACTTTAATGCAAGCATTTAAAGATGTTCTTCTTTAAACAATAAATTAGTCAAATATCTAAATGGAAATTACTTCAAATAAGAGCCAGATCCCCAACAGTGTCTTGCCTTAAACTGGCAACAAATATTTTTTTATGTTGGACTGAATGAATAATATTTTTGTTGAAGGTGACTCATTGAAGCTAGAAGAGAAGAATGTTATCACATCTCATCAAACCTTAGGCCAAATTGTGAATTAAGACAGAACTCCTACTCTGCAAAGTGACTCTTCACTGCTAAACGGAGCTGTCACATCACCTTTTTTTAAACCTCTATTAGCCTCCTCAGTTTCACTGTTGCCTACAGTCACAGAAGGAATCTATCAGTCTAAATTATTTTCAGACAAAAATATTTTTCAGCTCTATTTTATGATTTTATACATTGATCATAGGTTATCTTCTTGAATGTTAATAAATCTAATAACCTGTAAAATCATGGTGTTATTAACAGATACTCTCAGTATCTCACCTGAAGAGAAAGCCACTCATATTTTCCAGCAGAGGCAGCCAGAGCACAGCATTCTGTCCTGCGCAGGCAGCTGTGAGCAGCAGTTGCTTTATCACTTTCAGTTTGTGATACTGTGAGTGAATTCCTATGACTATGGTGACGTCAGCAAATTGGTGCTGGGAAAGAACACTGGAACAGGCTGCCCAGGGAGGTTGTGGAGTCTCCTTCTCTGGAGACATTCAAAACCCGCCTGGACACGTTCCTGTGTAACCTTATCTAGGTGTTCCTGCTCCGGCAGGGGGATTGGACTAGATGATCTTTTGAGGTCCCTTCCAATCTCTAACATACTGTGATACTGTGATACTGTGAAAGGTCAGGCAAAAGAAAGACTTTGGAGAAGAGAGGTAAAACTCTCATTTACAATGCATAATTGTCAGCTGCCCTTTATTCAACAACCTGAATGAGGGCTATTTCATGTGTGTCCCAAGCTAATCCTTAACCTTAGCTCTTATAGTGTTTATGTGTCCTGTGCAACTTCTGATGGTTTTTGTGTGGGATTCTGAGGATTTATTTAAGTTTTTTAAGCCATACATCTGCAAGACCCATGGAAGCCAAGATGATATTATGCCAGCACAAAAAAAAATAAAAAATATCTTTAGTCCTTCCCTTAGTCATAAATCTTCTTCATGTAGCATGCACCTTCACCATAACATATGTGGCTGAAAGGGTGGTTCATAATTGGGCTCTTATTTTTTTGAGTTTGCTGTAAAAACTAGTGACTGAAGCAGTTTCTTTACTGGTGGATTTCTAAAACTGGTAAGTACCTAGAATTTAGTTTAAGCTAGAAAAATCTTGAATTAAACCTTTATAAATTATTTAGAAGTTTTGCCACATCTATTTATAATCAAAACATAGCTGTTTCTTTTGAAGCAGATGCATCCTGATGATACATTCAGTATGATGTATTTTTAGTTTCGCTGCTGTTTTTACTAATTTGCATCTTTTTCTATACTGATGCTTTCCCCCCCCCCCCCCATAAGATATCTTGGTGAATGGTTATAATGCATCAAAGTTTAGATTCATGACTGGATTTTGAAAATTCTGAAGTTTAATATTTTGTTTTTTTTCGTGTCTGCTTTATGAAAGCAACGTACTACAAGCATCAGTTTGTGACAAGATGAAATCCACAAATAGATTTACAGCTGGTTTTGTGACAAATTAAGAATCTGGATACAAAGACCTCCATAACACGAGACACCATATTTTCTATATAGCTGTATTTTTACACAAAAATCTAGACCTTTAAACGTATACATCTGGTTATATAGGAAACTTCCAAGTTCTGCAGATGTATCAATGCTTGCTGCCAGGCAATAAT